ATTACGAGACAGAAACCAGAGCGGGATCGACCCGCTCTGATACCAACTTAAGATTGAAAAGAAATAATTCTTGAGGGCTTGATTGATCCCTCTCACAATCTTCTATTTATAAGAATAAATTGATACACAAGTACATGATAAATAGGGTAACCCTAGACACAATATAATCATGATAAATAGGGTAATCCTAGACACAATATAATCATGATAAATAGGGTAACCCTTGGCACACTATAATGATGATAAAATATCATAAATATCCTAACATTGTTAAAACCAAGGTTGTCAAAATCGAGAGTTTATGTAAACTCGTGACAGTCCAACAAACTCGAACCGTAAACTCGTAAGAGTTTACTTTACATGAAAAAAATATAAATTCATAAAAATCTTTTTCATAGAAATATTGTTATTGTGAAACATAAATTGATATATTAAAAAGTCTCTATATCTAATCCTCTAATAATGACATCATTATCTCTATCATCATTTTTCTGGAATATTTTTACTTTTACTTTTAATTGTTGAAAATGCACTTGGATTAACTTCTACCTAGTTTGATAGGTTTCCAGGCATAACAAGATAAACTTTTTCACTACAAACATAGAAGATAAAATGCCAAACAGCTTAAAATATTGTCTCAGCAAGGTTGTTCAACAGTCCAGTGTGCATAATTTTATTAAAAATAAAATGAATAGTACGGTGCTATAAAATGAAAACCATTAAATATTGTGCCGTAAATGCTTTGGTAATAAAACATGAAATCAATTTAAACATCAAGTGGCAGAGGGTTTACACTTATGCAACCCTTCGAAGACGAGATTGACGGCCAGAACGTCGGCAACCCGATCGACTGCGATGGCACGAACGGCACGAATCGGCACGAACGAAGGCGAGATCGAATGACGACAAGGAAGGCGTGACGGAGGGCGAGATTGACTAACGACGACGAAGGCGATGCGACAAAGGCGAGATCGAACGATGAGATTGACAACAAGAGTGCGAGAAAGGAGATGAACAATGAGAACGAAAGCAGTGAGTGAATCGGTTCAACGAAAGCTCTAAAACCTAATTTGGTGAGTCCTAAAAATTTTCTTCTCAAACTCGCAAAATCGGAACCCAACTCGCGATTTCAGGCGAGTTTAACGAGCCTATCACCATTTCCCCTCAAACAATTCTCAGTTTCCTAAAAGACTTAGTGAAAATATGTGCTAACTGATCATTAGAGTTAACGAACTCAGTCTTGATGTCTTCATATACAATCTTTTCTCAAATGAAATGATAGTCAATCTTAATGTGTTTAGACATTTCATGAAAGATATGATTAAAACTGATATGAAGAGTTGCGTAATTGTCACATATAAGTGTCATTTGAGTGACATTTCCAAATTGTAACTCTCTAAGCAATTGTTTAAGATAGGCAAGTTCACAAGTGGTTGAGGCCATAGCTCTATATTTTGTATCTGCACTAGATCTTGCCACAACACGTTTCTTGCTTTCAAGAAATCAAGTTATCACCAATGGAGACACAATACCCAAGGTAGATCTTCTATCAGAAAGAGATACTTGAGAATTAAACTGTAAAATAATTCTAGAGGGCTTAATTGATCCCTCTCATGATCTTCTATTTATAAGAATAAATTGATACAAAAGTTTGTACATGATAAATACAGTAACCTTAGACACAATATAATCATGATAAATAGGATAATCCTAGACACAATATAATCATGATAAATAGGGTAACCTTTGACATAATATAATCATGATAAATTAGGATAAATATCCTAACAGAGATCTTGCCCAATCAACATCTAAATAGCAAAAACCTTTTGTATGGTTATTGGAATCATATAAAACAATCCTTTTCCGGGAGATCCTTTAACGTACTTTAATATATGGACGATTGCATTCACTGTCTCACTGACTGCATTCACCGTATTCATCTCCTTCAGTCTCACTGCTGCATGCACTTATGTTGCTGCTCACAGCTACTCTCTGCCTCCAGCCGTCACCACCATTCACTGTTGTCTTATGATTTGTTGTTATTTTTAATTTTCCCAACAACTTGAATTTCATAATCTATGGAGAGTCAAAATCCATGAATAATTGACTCAGGTGCATTTGTTCATAATTCTGGTAATATCCTTTTGTTCTCTTATCTTTCCTTTCCCAAAACACATCATATCATAGTCCTAGCCAATGGATCTAGAGTAGCTTGCTAAGGAATGTCATCCCTCCCTTGTGCACTTATGTAGGTAAAACAATTCCTTCAAGAACTAGATTTTTTGAGATTCAGCCAATGAAGATTTATTGTGATAACCAAGTTGCTCTCCACATTGCTTTTAATATAGTGTTTCATGAGACAACTAAACACATAAATTGACTGTGATTTTATTTCAGAAATTTGTTGTCCAAGGAAATCTGCACTAAGTTTGTTGGATCAAATGATCAACTTGTACATGTATTAACGAAATCTTGTAGAGGACCTTGGATAAAATTTATTTGTTTCATGTTTGGCACATACAATTTGTATGCTCCAACTTGGAAGTGTGTTAGAATATTTAGTGTCAAATTGTATTGATTGTAAAGTTGTTGTATGTTTGGCACATACAATTTGTATGCTCCAACTTGGAAGTGTGTTAGAATATTTAGTGTCAAATTGTATTGATTGTAAAGTTGTTGTATGCCTTGTGTTGTACCTAGTTTCTAGATTTTCATATTCTCTTCTTTTTCCCCACTATTGTACTTGATGTATTCAAAGTTATTATTGTGAGATCCCAATAGAGGGAAATTCACTCATTCATTCTCTACTTTTTTGTATTTTTCTCAAGTACAACATTTAAACCTTTGCCAGTTAACTTTTCACTGTTGCGCAATATGGCAGCTTTGATTAATTGATTATTTTCTAACTGAAAACGTTCTACCGTTGTTGATAGGACATCTATATCTAGAAACCTAACAATTGTTCATTGAGATCTGTTTGGTTTGAATTTGATATATTCGAACTAGTTATTGACTTGTATAAATTACTGTAGGTGGACTTTATCATGGGGATTCTTTCTCGCCTTGTGACAAAGCAGGTTCATATATTATTGTTTTGTTTTTTGTAATCTATTTTATTGTTCTGTGTGCTTACTCATTGCTAAATGAACTGTTGCAGATATGGAAATATCCGAAGTTGTGGGTGGGATTCTTGAAGTGTGTGCAGCTGACAAAACCACAGTCATTTAGCGTTTTGCTTCAGGTATTATTATATATATTTACTCTTGTTATCAGGACCTTACTGTCATTTTTGAAGTTATGGCACAGTTCTGAATTAGTTTTCAGCGTCTCTGTTCATTATTGCGCCCTTACATACCTATTCTATATGATGAACGTATAACTTAAACAAGATGAAACTATCAATTATTTGTTTCCTACAGGAGGAGCTCCGCACGAAATATGTGGAACAATAGCTACTGAGAAACTTTGGTGTTGATTTCTTGGGTTAACTGTTAATATCGCAATTTAATGGTGTTGCCTTCAAATTGTACTTTATTCTATTAAATCATAAGATCTTTGTACGTTTTCTTGTGGCTATTCCGAGAGCTTTTGAAACAAGCTTAGTTACATAAAATTCTGGTCCAATGGAATTTCAGAGTTGGCACACTTGCACGAAATCTTCGTGTTGGGAAATCCTCCCATTTGTTGCTTCGTTTTGTGACTCTTTTGCTCCTTCTCAATCCCCCAGAATACGGCTTTACTGCCACTTGGTGGTGTTTCGTAACTAACTCTGATGCGTGGGTACTGTTATGCCACTGATATCATCATCCATCATGTGGCAGCTCTGCATGCTAGATTAGTGATAGTCTTACAATTGGAAATATGACTGCAGTAGTTAGATTATTATAATTATTTTTTTTATGTGAAGAGAATTGCATGGTCTGTATTCTAAAGAAATATTTTAGATGGCATTCAATCGTAGAGCTTATTTATCTGTTAATCGAGACCTCACTTTTATATACCAGATGGGTTTGGGAAGAGGGTTAATAAAATGTAGAAGTCAGTTGCTTTTAATATCTTTTTTTAAATAATTACATTGCTCATACTTAATTATCGTTTTAAGTGAGTCTTTTTCCTTCATTTTTCACAAGTTTGATATAGAAAATTTCAGTAGCTTAATTTCCTCTCGTTTTTTTCTTGGGTACGCATTCTTTATTCTTTGAGTTTGAGTTTAGATGGTTTTTTTAAAAGCTTTTGAAATTTTAAGACATGTCTGTTCTAATGCTTTTTCTTGTGGTGTATGCTTGCAAGCAGCTGCCTCCAGCACAATTGGAGAATGCATTAAATAGAATTTCAGCCTTGAAGGCACCATTGATTGCACATGCTAGCCAGCCAGATATACAATCCAAACTTCCGAGGTTCAAAATTTCACTGGGCACAACATTGCCATGAATTTATCTTTTTCTTTCCTTTCTCTACATCTTATTGATGGTGATCTCGTTTCATTCTTGTTTAAAAACTGCATCTTTTTGGGACGGGGTGTAGCCAGTGTGTTTATTTTTGAACAACATTGATTCTAAGTTTTTGAATGTGTTTAGGGCTATGCTAGTTGTTCTTGGAATTGCATCCGATTCTCAAGTCTCATCAAGTCAAGCACAAACTACTCAGACACAGATTACTCAGACACAGATTACTCAGACACAAACTAGTCAGACACAGACTACTCAGACACAAACTAGTCAGACACAGACTACTCAGACACAAACTAGTCAAACACATACTACTCAGACACAAACTAGTCAAACACAGACTGGTGAGACAAGCAACTCAGACAAGGACACAGTAACAGAGAAATCTAAAGAATCATCTACCGCGAGCTAAAATATAAGCAACCATGATGATGTGGTGGAATTTACTATTCAACTGCGAGTCTCAGGTTGAATTAGCCTAGACCTGACCGAGACTAACCGCAATCAGCTCTGACCGACAGAGGAATAAGGAGCTAATACTGATAATTCAACACATTCAGATAGCTAAATAGTTGGGCTGTGCTCAGGGTTTTTGTGCCCTTCACTGTACCTTGGCATTAGGCAACAACCCAGCCTGTACATGTATATAGATGGAATAATGTGTATTGGAATGGAATGGTTCCTATTTTGGCCCCAATTTTATTTTATTTACTGTTTGAACATAATGTGTTCCTATTAAAATGTGTATATACACGTTGATTTTCCCCAGTGGAAACTATTTTAGCGTTTGTCTTGCGCATCTGTATCTCTGATTAAGACAAGGATCAGAGAATCTTTACACATACTCTACTTTTTTAGATTTGCTTTTTAAATTGTGTTGAGTTACTTCGATCTCTAATTTATTTGCAACGATTTCATAATAAAATACGAAATTACGTTCATGTTTTTGCCATTATGTTGGAGTACGAAATAAAATGTCTGAAGTGTTTGTTGGCATTAATTTGAACAATATATAGATGTACTGAGTTTAGTAATTAGTGAACTTGTGGTAATTGTTAAATACAAAATCTGTTTTCGGCAAAAACAATCTTCCCATGGCTTAATTTAGCATTAACTTCATCCTATATAATTTGGGCTTAATTTCCCTTTTAGCACTTTAAATCGATGATTTAAGTATAGTAGAAGTTATCTTCTCTTATATTTTAAATTAATGAATTAGTCTAATACTTACTATTTAGTCTGGGGGCCACCTTTTATACTATTAATAGCGTGTCTAGCGACAGACCGATGTCTTTCCCTTGTAGGCATTTCGTACCTTGCGCAAGCTCCAGTATTGTACATTTACTGTACAGTAAATATGGATTTGATTGTAAGAAATTCGTAAAATTAAGGGATTGAGATAGGAATTTATTTGGTAGATTTTCTCCTTATATAGTCTTCGGAGATTTATTTCATGAGATTCCATTAAAGGGGATTTGTTTCTTGTATAACCTTGTTTTTCTCTTCGTAAAATTACCGATTCAAAATCAACAAAAGAAGATTTCAGTTTTTCCCAAAATGATTGGTGGACTCTAAGGCATTAGAGCTTCTACAGATTAAATGGAAAAAGCTATTATGCAAATGATTCCAACTTGTTGTATGCACTATGAGATGATTCTAATGAATTTCTTTTTTATGCAGAGAATGAAAGAATCTAAAATCCCCAATTGGGTATTAGTTCGCATGCAGTAAAACTGAGATTTATGAATGATGATATGCAGTGTAGAAATTTAAATCAACGAATGCTATATATGAATGCCATGCAGATGCTGAAGTAATCAAGATAGAACAACAAGATCGACTTATAAAGCATAATTTAACAGAAGTGTTACCCTAATCATGGAACAACAAGATCGACTTATAAAGCATAATTTAAAGAAAAATACTCAGAAATTAAAAGTCTTTAACAATGAATTTAAAAAGACAACAAAGCATACCAAAACTCAGAATTAAATGTTTGATTTGTTTAGTTAACTGAATCATAACCTGTCAAGAAGACATCTTGATTAATATAGACCCACTTTGGAATCCTATAGGTTCTTGATTAGAGACCAAATAGTGCAAATTTTCATTCAATCTCCAGACAAAACCAAACTTTAATTCTGAATTAACAGTGAACACAGAAAGAATGAACAAGGCAAAGCGCTTTGAAACTACTATAAAACAAAAATCAAGATTGTGAAAATAGAGCATATCATTGAAAGATGCAGAAATTAAAAGATAAAAGAAACAAGGTTTAGAGGCAAGAAGACAGTAAATTTATAGAATTGAAATCGAATTGACGTCAAGACAAACCAAGTTTTGTNTGCCACTTGGTGGTGTTTCGTAACTAACTCTGATGCGTGGGTACTGTTATGCCACTGATATCATCATCCATCATGTGGCAGCTCTGCATGCTAGATTAGTGATAGTCTTACAATTGGAAATATGACTGCAGTAGTTAGATTATTATAATTATTTTTTTTATGTGAAGAGAATTGCATGGTCTGTATTCTAAAGAAATATTTTAGATGGCATTCAATCGTAGAGCTTATTTATCTGTTAATCGAGACCTCACTTTTATATACCAGATGGGTTTGGGAAGAGGGTTAATAAAATGTAGAAGTCAGTTGCTTTTAATATCTTTTTTTAAATAATTACATTGCTCATACTTAATTATCGTTTTAAGTGAGTCTTTTTCCTTCATTTTTCACAAGTTTGATATAGAAAATTTCAGTAGCTTAATTTCCTCTCGTTTTTTTCTTGGGTACGCATTCTTTATTCTTTGAGTTTGAGTTTAGATGGTTTTTTTAAAAGCTTTTGAAATTTTAAGACATGTCTGTTCTAATGCTTTTTCTTGTGGTGTATGCTTGCAAGCAGCTGCCTCCAGCACAATTGGAGAATGCATTAAATAGAATTTCAGCCTTGAAGGCACCATTGATTGCACATGCTAGCCAGCCAGATATACAATCCAAACTTCCGAGGTTCAAAATTTCACTGGGCACAACATTGCCATGAATTTATCTTTTTCTTTCCTTTCTCTACATCTTATTGATGGTGATCTCGTTTCATTCTTGTTTAAAAACTGCATCTTTTTGGGACGGGGTGTAGCCAGTGTGTTTATTTTTGAACAACATTGATTCTAAGTTTTTGAATGTGTTTAGGGCTATGCTAGTTGTTCTTGGAATTGCATCCGATTCTCAAGTCTCATCAAGTCAAGCACAAACTACTCAGACACAGATTACTCAGACACAGATTACTCAGACACAAACTAGTCAGACACAGACTACTCAGACACAAACTAGTCAGACACAGACTACTCAGACACAAACTAGTCAAACACATACTACTCAGACACAAACTAGTCAAACACAGACTGGTGAGACAAGCAACTCAGACAAGGACACAGTAACAGAGAAATCTAAAGAATCATCTACCGCGAGCTAAAATATAAGCAACCATGATGATGTGGTGGAATTTACTATTCAACTGCGAGTCTCAGGTTGAATTAGCCTAGACCTGACCGAGACTAACCGCAATCAGCTCTGACCGACAGAGGAATAAGGAGCTAATACTGATAATTCAACACATTCAGATAGCTAAATAGTTGGGCTGTGCTCAGGGTTTTTGTGCCCTTCACTGTACCTTGGCATTAGGCAACAACCCAGCCTGTACATGTATATAGATGGAATAATGTGTATTGGAATGGAATGGTTCCTATTTTGGCCCCAATTTTATTTTATTTACTGTTTGAACATAATGTGTTCCTATTAAAATGTGTATATACACGTTGATTTTCCCCAGTGGAAACTATTTTAGCGTTTGTCTTGCGCATCTGTATCTCTGATTAAGACAAGGATCAGAGAATCTTTACACATACTCTACTTTTTTAGATTTGCTTTTTAAATTGTGTTGAGTTACTTCGATCTCTAATTTATTTGCAACGATTTCATAATAAAATACGAAATTACGTTCATGTTTTTGCCATTATGTTGGAGTACGAAATAAAATGTCTGAAGTGTTTGTTGGCATTAATTTGAACAATATATAGATGTACTGAGTTTAGTAATTAGTGAACTTGTGGTAATTGTTAAATACAAAATCTGTTTTCGGCAAAAACAATCTTCCCATGGCTTAATTTAGCATTAACTTCATCCTATATAATTTGGGCTTAATTTCCCTTTTAGCACTTTAAATCGATGATTTAAGTATAGTAGAAGTTATCTTCTCTTATATTTTAAATTAATGAATTAGTCTAATACTTACTATTTAGTCTGGGGGCCACCTTTTATACTATTAATAGCGTGTCTAGCGACAGACCGATGTCTTTCCCTTGTAGGCATTTCGTACCTTGCGCAAGCTCCAGTATTGTACATTTACTGTACAGTAAATATGGATTTGATTGTAAGAAATTCGTAAAATTAAGGGATTGAGATAGGAATTTATNATAAATTACTGTAGGTGGACTTTATCATGGGGATTCTTTCTCGCCTTGTGACAAAGCAGGTTCATATATTATTGTTTTGTTTTTTGTAATCTATTTTATTGTTCTGTGTGCTTACTCATTGCTAAATGAACTGTTGCAGATATGGAAATATCCGAAGTTGTGGGTGGGATTCTTGAAGTGTGTGCAGCTGACAAAACCACAGTCATTTAGCGTTTTGCTTCAGGTATTATTATATATATTTACTCTTGTTATCAGGACCTTACTGTCATTTTTGAAGTTATGGCACAGTTCTGAATTAGTTTTCAGCGTCTCTGTTCATTATTGCGCCCTTACATACCTATTCTATATGATGAACGTATAACTTAAACAAGATGAAACTATCAATTATTTGTTTCCTACAGGAGGAGCTCCGCACGAAATATGTGGAACAATAGCTACTGAGAAACTTTGGTGTTGATTTCTTGGGTTAACTGTTAATATCGCAATTTAATGGTGTTGCCTTCAAATTGTACTTTATTCTATTAAATCATAAGATCTTTGTACGTTTTCTTGTGGCTATTCCGAGAGCTTTTGAAACAAGCTTAGTTACATAAAATTCTGGTCCAATGGAATTTCAGAGTTGGCACACTTGCACGAAATCTTCGTGTTGGGAAATCCTCCCATTTGTTGCTTCGTTTTGTGACTCTTTTGCTCCTTCTCAATCCCCCAGAATACGGCTTTACTGCCACTTGGTGGTGTTTCGTAACTAACTCTGATGCGTGGGTACTGTTATGCCACTGATATCATCATCCATCATGTGGCAGCTCTGCATGCTAGATTAGTGATAGTCTTACAATTGGAAATATGACTGCAGTAGTTAGATTATTATAATTATTTTTTTTATGTGAAGAGAATTGCATGGTCTGTATTCTAAAGAAATATTTTAGATGGCATTCAATCGTAGAGCTTATTTATCTGTTAATCGAGACCTCACTTTTATATACCAGATGGGTTTGGGAAGAGGGTTAATAAAATGTAGAAGTCAGTTGCTTTTAATATCTTTTTTTAAATAATTACATTGCTCATACTTAATTATCGTTTTAAGTGAGTCTTTTTCCTTCATTTTTCACAAGTTTGATATAGAAAATTTCAGTAGCTTAATTTCCTCTCGTTTTTTTCTTGGGTACGCATTCTTTATTCTTTGAGTTTGAGTTTAGATGGTTTTTTTAAAAGCTTTTGAAATTTTAAGACATGTCTGTTCTAATGCTTTTTCTTGTGGTGTATGCTTGCAAGCAGCTGCCTCCAGCACAATTGGAGAATGCATTAAATAGAATTTC